AAAATTAATAGGATTTGATGGCTTTTTTAAAGTGAGCAGCAAAAGAGAGAAGTCTAAGATGACTGCCTGGTTTCAGACTTGGGCTACTAGACACAATAAATATTGTGGGTGCTAGGTACCTAGGTTTGAGAAATAAGACAATGAGTTCTGTTTTCAACATATTGACTTTGTTTTCTAACTTTCTCATGTACTACAATATAATTGATGCTTTTCCAAAGGACTTTAGTAATATTTTTAAGCAACTCGTTTTGTATAAATTTAACCTACAAGACGGAACAGTTTCTGATAAAATTACATTTTGAGCTAGAAAGGATGATCCAGTGTAAGGCTTTCATTTTACATGAAACAGTCTAGATACCCTAAAAAAGATAAAATACTCCCTTCAAGAGATGATACCAAGAATAAATGCACAAGATAACCCCTGGGGGGAATAATTGATACATTTAATTAATATATTTTATAAGTTGAGGGTATAAATTCAATATTCCAATTTTTTTAAGTTTTACAACAGTGAAATATTCAACTATGGTCTTTTTTCTATATTGAAAACAAAATGCTATTCCTAGTATTAAATTAACTTAAAAATCACAGTATATTATTTAATCAGATCCAGTCTTTCAAAACAATTGTGCTTCCATAGAATTTCTCACTTTCATGTATTTCACATGAAAAATTGTTAACATTAATCTTATTCTTACAAGGATTAAAATATTTGTGGTAAGATTTCAGGTTTTAAGAACTTTATTTTTTCTGCAAAAGGTGTTGGCAAAAATGTCAAAATATTGTCTACCAGAATGAGCATTAAATTGTGCTGAATTTCCCAATGTATGTTAACATATTTTGTCATTTTAATTTTTTCAGTATCTTGCCATGACAAAATTTTTAATTGGGGCTTATAAAAGATCTCTTTTTTAAAGACATTAAGGGACTTCCCAGGTGGTCCAGTGGTTAAGACTTCACCTTCCAATGCAGGGGGTGCAGGTTTGATCACCGGTCGGGGAGCTAAGATCCCACATGCCTCGGGGCCAAAAAACCAAAAAAACATAAAACACAAGCAATATTGTAACAAACTCAACAAAGACTTTAAAAATGGTCCACATCAAAAAAAAAAAATCTTAAAAAAGAAGACATTAAGGAAAAGTAAGAATTGAACGAAGCTTTGTTCCTCTTTAATAATTTATAAAATGCTATAACAGAAATAAGTTTAAAACGTTAGTTCCTTATCCATCAATCTAGCCTTAAAGAGGTTCACAACTGCTTTTATTCTGATTACAACTGTTTCCACTAAATAATCTCTTTTATGTCTTCAAATAATATATATATTTTCATTCAATTTTCTACTAAATGAAAAAAAGGAGAGTTTCTTCAGGTAAGAACTCTATTTAGTACTACTCCTTTCTGAACGAACCACGCAGTAACAATAACCATTGCTTCTTTGGGGACGAATCTTAAAAAGAATACTAGATGTCCCTCTAGTGGTGGTCCTAAATTCCACAAAATTTGATGAGCCCTTGATGATGTCCATTTTATGGCGATATATTCTATTCGTAACAGCAATTCTGTTCATGTTTTTCAAATCAGTATCCTGTGATCATAGCGTAAACAATCTAGATTTAGGAAGTTTAAGACAAACCACAACATTCTAAAATTTCATCAAAATGAATACAAATTCCATTTCTCAGAGAGTAAACTAGCCAATTTGGAGTCCTTTGTTTTCCAAATGCTAAGTATTTCTGAATAGTTGTGATTCAGTGTTCTCAGTTCAGTGAGCCTCCCTATGAGATGAGCAAAATGCTGTAGGTCTTCTGGATGATAAATTTTTGAATATTTGTACAAAATTTGTAAAACTGGTTCTTGTAAATTTTCCACATGTTGCTTATTTGTAATGCATGGACGATCTGAAAAACATTATCACATATATCTTAATGAATATTGGAAAATGGTAGAAGATAATGAATTAATTTAAAACAATACAGTTTTAAATAATATAAATTGCAAATATTTACTGAACCTTTAATATATGCCAGATTTTATGCCAGGTAACTTGCTTCTATGCAATGTTTTATTTAATCTTCATAATACCCTATGAAGAGTATTTCTTAATGATCAGACAGCATTCACTCATCCAGTCATTGTGCTGGAGATACAGCAGTGAACAGAGACTAAATTTCCTGCCCTCATTGAGCTTATTTTTTGGGTCTGGGAGGAGTAGGGGAGGAAAAAGACATATACACATTTTTTAAATAAAAATATATGACAACAATAAGCGAGAGTACGGGATAAGAATTGGGGGGGGAGGGGCATTAGCTATTTTTAAAAGGGTAATCAGAGATAAGATGACATTTAGCAGAGATCCAGGATGGTGAAGAGGGAGCCATGAAACCATCTAGGAAAGAGCTTTCCAAGCAGAAGATTTGTCAAGTACAGTAGAAGCTGTGGAAGGAATCTGCTTGAAATTTACAGGCAACATATGCATCAAAGGCAGTGTGGCTGTGGTGGTGTGAGCAAAAGGAATAGTAATAGACACTGATAGAAAGAACTTTGGCTTTAAACTGTGTAAAATAGAAAGCCATTACAGGGTTATGAGCAGAGGAATGACATAATCTGGCTTATGTTGTCAAAGAATCACTCTGGCTACTGTATAAAGAATAGACCCTAGGGAGGCAAGGGCAAAAACAGGAAAGTGAGTTAGTAGTTTTATTAGGATGGCAGGGACAGAGACAGTAAGAAGTGGTTGAGTTCTGGATCTATTTTGAGGCTATAGCCAACAAGACTTGTTGCATATTTGATAATGGGCATAAGAGAAAAAGAAGTGAAGGATGACTTCAAGAATTTTGGCTTATACAACTTGAAGTATGGAGATGCCATTTAGTAGAGATGGAGGAAGAATATAGGAGAATCAGGGGGCAATCAGGAGTTCACATTCAGACATGTTAAATTTTATATGCCTACTAAACATCCAAATTGAAATCTTGAGTAGGCTATTTAATGGAGCTTAGGGTAGCAGTCCAGGTTGGTATATAATTTGGGAGTTGTCAGCCTCTAGATGGCATTTAAAGCCATGAGATAAGATGAAATTTCAAAGGAAGTGCACATAGGAAAAAAGAGAACTGAGTCCTGGGACATTTTAACATTTATCAGTGTGCGAGATGAGGGGGAATTAACAAAGGAGACAGAAAGAGCAGCAACTGAGGAGGAAAACCAAGAGAGTGAAATGTCCTGGAAATCAAGTGGAAAAAAATCCTGTCAAGAAGGAGGGAGTGATCAACTGAAGCCAAATGTTAAGTGTTCGAAGAAAGAGGGAGTGATCTGCTCTTTCAAATGTAGCTCACGGGTCAAGTAAGATGAAGACTAAGAATTGACCACTGTAATCTGCAATGCCAAATTACTGAAGATTTTGATAAGTTATGGTGGAAGGGAAAGGAGGGGACAAAATCTGACTGTACTGGGTTCAGAAGTAAATGAGAAGAGAGAAATGGAGGGAGGAGTATAGACAACTCTTAATTTTTTTTTTTTTTTTTTTTTTGCTATAATGTAGAACAGAGAAATAGGAGAATAGCTGAAAGGGGATTTGAGGTAAGGGCAGACACTATAAAACTCTTAGAGGAAAACATAGGCAGAACACTCTATGACATAAATCACAGCAAGATCCTTTTTGACCCACCTCCTAGAGAAATGGAAATAAAAACAAAAATAAACAAATGGGACCTAATGAAACTTCAAAGTTTTGCACAGCAAAGGAAACCATAAACATGATGAAAAGACAACCCTTAGAATGGCAGAAAATATTTGCAAACGAAGCAACTGACAAAGGATTAATCTCAAAAATATACAAGGAGCTCATGCAGCTCAATATCAAAAAAACAAACAACCCAATCCAAAAATGGGCAGAAGACCTAAATAGACATTTCTCCAAAGAAGATACACAGATTGCCAACAAACACGTGAAAGGATGCTCAACATCACTAATCATTAGAGAAATGTGAATCAAAACTACAACGAGGGCCTTCCCTGGTGGCGCAGTGGTTGGGAGTCCGCCTGCTGATGCAGGGGACACGGGTTCGTGCCCCGGTCCGGGAAGATCCCACATGCCGCGGAGCGGCTGGGCCCATGAGCCATGGCTGCTGAGCCTGCGCATCCGGAGCCTGTGCTCCACAATGGGAGAGGCCACAACAGTGAGAGGCCTGCATACCACAAAAAAAAAAAAAAAAAAAAAAACTACAATGAGGTGTCACCTCACACCAGTCAGAATGGCCATCATCAAAAATCTACAAACAACAAATGCTGGAAAGGGTGTGAAGAAAAGGGAACCCTCTTGCATTTTTGGTGGGAATGTAAATTGATACAGCCACTATGGAGAACAGTATGGAGGTTCCTCAAAAAAATAAAAATAGAACTACCATACGACCCAGCAATCCCACTACCGGACATATACCCTGAGAAAACCATAATTCAAAAAGAGTCATGTACCACAATGTTCATTGCAGCAATATTTACAATAGCCAGGACATGGAAGCAACCTAAATGTCCATCAACAGATGAATGGTTAAAGAAGATGTGGCACATATATACAATGGAATATTACTCAGCCATAAAAAAGAAACGAAATTGAGTTATTTGTAGTGAGGTGGATGGACCTAGACTCTGTCATACAGAGTAAAGTAAGTCAGAAAGAGAAAAACAAATACCGTATGCTAACACATATATATGGAAACTAAAAAATAAGTGGTTCTGAAGAACCTAGGAGCAGGACAGGAATAAAGACACAGACGTAGAGAACAGACTTGAGGACACAGGGAGGGGGAAGGGTAAGCTGGGACAAAGTGAGAGAGTGGCATGGACATATATACACTACCAAATGTAAAATAAGATAGCTAGTGGGAAGCAGCCGCATAGCACAGGGAGATCAGCTGGGTGCCTTGTGACCTCCTAGAGGGGTGGGATAGGGAGGGTGGGAGGGAGATGCAAGAGGGACGGGATATGGGGATATATATATATGTATATGTATGGTGCAACAAGAAAACTAGCTCTGCAAAAGAATGTGATTTGTGACAAATGTGAAGGCCAAGGTGGTAAGAAAGGAGCAGTGGAGTGCTGTCCCAATTGCTGAGGTACTGGAATGCAAATAAGAATTCATCAGGTAGGACCTGGAATGGTTCAGCAAATTCAGTCTGTCTGCATGGAGTTCCAGGGCCATGGGGAGCGGATCAGTCCTAAAGATAGATGTAAAAGCTGCAATGGAAGGAAGATAGTTCAAGAGAAGAAAATTCTAGAAGTTCATATTGACAAAGGCATGAAAGATGGCCAGAAGATAACATCCCATGGTGAAGGAGACCAAGAACCAGGACTGGAGCCAGGAGATATTATCATCATTTTAGATCAGAAGAATCATGCTGTTTTTACACGACGAGGAGAAGACCTTTTCATGTGTATGGACATACAGCTGGTTGAGGCATTGTGTGGCTTCCAAAAGCCAATATCTACTCTTGACAACCGAACCATAGTCATCACTTCTCATCCAGGTCAGATTGTCAAGCATGGAGATATCAAGTGTGTGCTAAATGAAGGCATGCCAATTTATCGTAGACCATATGAAAAGGGTCGCCTAATCATTGAATTTAAGGTAAACTTTCCTGAGAATGGCTTTCTCTCCCCGGATAAACTCTCTTTGCTGGAAAAACTCCTACCTGAGAGGAAGGAAGTAGAAGAGACTGATGAAATGGACCAGGTAGAACTAGTGGACTTTGATCCAAATCAGGAAAGACAGCGCCATTACAATGGAGAAGCATATGAGGATGATGAACATCATCCTCGGGGTGGTGTTCAGTGTCAGACCTCCTAATGGGGCCAGTGAATAACACTCACTGCTGGCATTTTATTTGCAGTAGTGATTGAGTGGAAGACTATAATCATAATATGCTCACTACTTGCTATTTTTTGTTTTAATATTCAACTATAGTAGTGTTTTAAAAGTTAAAACTTTGTTATAAAGCAGAAACTAACACACCATTGTAAAGCAATTATACTCCAATAAAGATGTTTTAAAAAAAAAAGACATTTTTTTAAGATGCAAGAAATTACAGCATGTTTGTAAGCTGAAGGGAATGCCCTTATAGAGAAGGCTATTTTGATGAAAATTGGTAAATTTGGAATCAATGAGTAATAAAATAATCACAATCTTCATGATTTCATTGTCAAACTTAATCCAAATTTTTACTGCTAAATAGTTTTTTACCTGAAAAAAACACTGTTGTGGCTGCAAGCAGAGCATATTCAGTATTAGTAATGCTAAGCTCACTCATTCTTCTACAGAAGTAATACAGTGTAGTAATAAATTCTTCAGAAATACCTAAAAAGATTAATATCAAATGTATTTTCATCAGAACACAGTGCAGACTCATATTGCCATTATCATATTTTCTCAAAGCAGTACAAGAAAATGAAACATGTCTGACAAATTTTTTCCATCCAATACAATATTTTGTATTATATATAATATTACCAGTCAGCATAGCAGAAGGACAATCTTCATTGCAAAATGTTTCCATAGGATAAATAGCACTTCTATCACCACTTTGATCATGACAATTCAGTGAATGATCTGAATGATCTGATATTTTCATAGTACCTAGTTAAGGGAAAAAATATAAAGTCTGATTTTTTAAAATCTTTATTCAGATAGTAAAGTCAATCTCTCTAACGTCTGTTAAACAGGAAACATTCCCAACAAATGGTATCTTTATAATTTTTATTACTGAAACATGAATCTAGAATAATAGTTCACACTTTATATAAACATTATATAGAAGACCCTCCAAAAATGTGTTTTCTATGATACTATATAAGAAGAATGGCTTTCCTTAAGAGAAAAACAAAAGCTAGAACAATGAATTGGAAAACTATAAACCACTATTATGAAGTACTTATTTGTACACCAACTAGTACAATAAAAATATAATAAAAAATAGCTCAATGTTATATAATCTGTTGCTAAATTTAATAGTAACTATTAACATTAAGATTGAGTTAGTTGACCTTTTTTGCTTTCAGAAGTTGATGAAAGATATTCTTTTTGACTGTAAATTTGGGCCACATGAAGGAACATCACTTCAGTTTTTGATCCCTTCTGTAATGCAGTCTGATCCTCATTGGTCAAATTTTCAAATCCTTTACGAAAAGATCACATAATTGTTTGAAATAAATAATGAAAAGATAATTTTCAGGTATAGGATTTAACTTTTTTTTTTTTTTTGAGGTATGCAGGCCTCTCACTGTTGTGGCCTCTCCCGTTGCGGAGCACAGGCTCCGGACGCGCAGGCTCAGCGGCCATGGCTCCCGGGCCCAGTCGCCCCACGGCATGTGGGATCTTCCTGGACCAGGGCATGAACCTGTGTCCCCTGTATCGGCAGGCGGACTCTTAACCACTGTGCCACCAGGGAAGCCCAGGATTCAACATTTTTATATTATTTACTTATGATACGAATCTTAACTGGTCCCTTAGAATAATTATGATTCCACATGGTACTATTTGGGGGCACTTTCATCAGAACCAGATAATAATAATTTCCTATGGCAAGAGCAAATTAAACGTAGTGGTTTAGCCTTGAAGAATTTATTTTCACAGAGAGTTACCTGTGCACGTAACTAGATAGCTAAGTTTTGGCCAACAGTGGCTTCACCTTTTTTTTTTTTTTGGTATGGTATAGGGAATTTTGTTTCATGTTTTATCTAAAAAACAAAAACAATTTATTTCCCAAAATAAAAATAAAATAAAACATACAATCAATCATAGTTTGTCTTAACTCTAAGTCTTTGAAGTCACTTGAATAATATTTTAAAATATTTATATTTTCATCCAACTGATTGATTAAAGCAAACAAAGTAAACATGTTTTTAAATTTAGAAGCAGTTTTGGTAGAAAAATAGAGAGTTTTGTTTTCTTAAAATGCCACCTTCCTTTAAAACAAGGAACTTTTTTAAAATTACGTATTAAATTACTTTAATTTTTTCCAAAGACAAAGTGATTACCTGGGAGTCTCTTGGTGAAATTCATTAACCTCTGTATATGTAGGACAACTGTCTCTGAGAGTCGCAAGAAGATCAGTTCAGGATTTGCATATCCCTGCAGCTAAGCAACAAAAAGAAATAAGATTAATAATTTTTTTCTTTCAAATAACTTTAAATTTTAAACTTTTCTGATTATGCTGTTATTTTCTAACATAATTAATTACAAATTATTTCTTGCTAGTAATGAACACATACAAATCTTTCTGTTTCTTCTAATGGAATTGTATATTTTTGATGAGCGGCCACAATGTTGTTAATGAGCTGATGTTCCTCTTGAGTTAGTTCCATGCTCTCCTGAATCTGTAAGAAAATATAGGGGGAAAACTGTAATGCATACCTATTAAATAAGACATCATCATTAAAGAAACAAGAAATTTTTTAAGGAGAGCCTTGCCACTTTTCCAGATCTAGTGGTAGGTGACACAAGCTTGTTGTTTACCCCTTCCTCTTCCACTTTGATGTTAGAGTAAAAATTATTCTTCTGCTTAAAGTTCTTTCGAAGTCTCTTTGATCTGCATTGGATTTCTGTGAGCAAACCTGTGATATTACAAAATTCACATAAAATATTTTTGGTACAACAAGTAACATTACAGGATTTGATGAAAATTGTCTTACATTGTACACATATGTGATCATGAACTTGCCTTTTCACAAAAAACCTTTCTTTTTTGGTAAGCATGTACAACAGCAGTTAAATTTACTACATTACTTACTTCTTTTCCTTCCACAGCTTCCTGTCTACTTAAAACTACACAGTCATCCTAGACTTAAATTAAAAATTAATTTTGCATCTCCAAATTATAAATTTAGACCTTTTTATGTTAGAGAAATTTCCACATTAATTATATCTTGGAAGCAACAGAATGTTAATTGGTACATTGAAGGGAAACCACTAATTTTAAATTGTGCTTTTTGTAGTTGAATTATATAACTTTAGGTTAAGTAATATAAAAATACAAGGATTTCCAATTAAGAAGAAAATATGATTATTACCAAAGTTAGAGCAATATAGTATAGAACATATTTTATGGAAATAATTACCTAGATTGGTAACTGGCTATCCTAATTTAGCAGTTGCTGGAGAAATAGCTTAAATCCAGACAAATATGTTATGTTCAAATATGTTCAAAATAACTTGAAGAACGTAAGTTCCTAGTAAGGTAAGAAAAACTAAAATCCCCCTAAAAAAAAAACCACAATGGCACTTACATTCTTCCAACATTCCTACTGCCTTACACTTTTTTAGTCTGCACTCTTGACATTTTCTACGCATGTACATGTCCATTTCACAGTGACCACCATTCTTGCAACTATATACTGCATTTTTGGTGATGCTACGTCGAAAAAACCCTAATAACAAAGGAGAGTTTTTAAAATTTTACTATTAGGTATTTTTAGTTACTTGTTTTTAACCTTCATAGTAAAAGTAATCAAGTTAACTAAATTATTTCAATAAAATGTTTTTTCCCTCAGTAAGAAGGTTTGGTTTAATATACATTTATCTGGATAATTGTTTTAATCCTCTCCTATTTGATATATCTTATTACATGGTTGTTCCTGTCAATAATCTATCTGGAAATTAAACTAAATAACCCCAACACATTAAAACAACTCTGTGTTTTCTATGGTTATAATATACCATCTAAAAGCATTTTTAAACTATATTTTACAGAATATCAAGATTCCATGACACATCTCTCAAGGTTCCCTAGAAGGAATATGGGCTCATGTAAAATAAAACTATAAGGAAACCTCTCTTTTTCTCGCCCCACATTTCTACCTCAACTCATAAAGGAAGAGATAATTCTTCCAAACTTACTCCTCTGTCCTTCCTTTTTAGCACTTCCCCAGATGAGAACATATTGCTAATTTATTTAGTCCAAGACGTTGAATGGGCCGTTTTGTGTGTGTGTGTGTGTGTGTGTGTGTGTGTGTGTGTGTGTGTGTGT